AAAAAGAGGAGGAATAAAAAAGTCATTTAACTTCTATTATTTAATATATCTAGAACAGTGGTTCTTGGTTGTGGGTTGGTTTTTTTTGTTTGTTTTGTTTTGTTATGGGTTTTTTGGGGGTTTTTTTGCAGCTTCCCAGTTACTCCCCAGCACTACGCCCTTCAGGTAGCCAGGTTTTCCTTCCTCTTGCTGCCCCGGAGGAAAAGGGATTTTTGGTGTTAATGCACCTCGTGTCCCTCTGCATCTCCCATGCAGAAACTGGTACCTGCTTTGCCTGAGTGGTGGAGGCACCTGAGTAACATGGTGTAGTGTGAGGTGAGAAAGAGGAGCCCAAATGCCCATTTGGAGACAGGAACTCAGTGAACTGAGTTCACTTGGAAGGAAGAAAATCAGGTTAGGTCAGTTTGCTTGTTTGTTTGAGGTGTGTAACCATCCAGTTTTCCTTAGCTGAGGCTTGCACTGCACACAGGTTGCTTCTGGAGAAAGTTGCTATATGTGTAAAGAAGGAAGGACAGTGCTTCCAGCCTGTGCTCCCCACATACCTGCCAGGGAGAAGTGAAGGATTTTGTTACCAGTTTCTCTCTCTCACAAATCTCCAGGCTGCTGGTTCAGGTCGTGTCTAAACCCTCCAGTGTTCAGACTGGCAAGGGGGGGGTACATTTCTAAGGTGGTTGTGGTAATGCAATATTACAGTTTCTGGTTTGTTGTTGATAAGTGGGGACCAAATGAAGTTTTCTTTTCCTTTGAGGGCTTCTAAGAGCATGTCCCTAACAATAAATGTTATCATTATCCTACAAGGAAGCACATCCATACATAGGATGATAATTAGCATGAAATATGAAAAGGTCAGGGCAGCCTCTAATAAGAAAGCCTCTCCCTTCCTAATTTCTCTGTTAATGGGTGTTTTCCTTAGCTAGGGCTAACCTAGGCATGTTGATACCTGTTCCTTTTGAATAACCAGTGCAATTAATTATTATATTAGTGTTTATTTGATGTTTGTGTAGATACACCCATGAAGGTGAGGTTAATTTGTGTTAGGTGCTATTCAGATTTGTCATGGGAGTTGATCCCATGTTCAAACCCCATGTCATGTAATAGGTGAAAAGATAAGTTCTTCAAACGGTTTGGGGAGTATTTTGATTTATTCTTTCATGTGAATTTATCTCTGTACCTGCATGCCCAGCAGATACACCCTGTCACAGTCTGTCCATTATCCCATTACCCCTTTAGCAGAGGCAGGGAAAAATTGCTGGGCTGCAGCCTTGTATGCATGGTGCTCTCAATCCAAATAACTGCTGCATCTGGCAGTGTATTTTGATTTCCTTTTCCTGCCAGTGGTTTGCAGAGATATTTGAGGACTGGAGGGAGAGAGAATCAGAAGGACAATGAATAGATTTAGAAAACTAACAGGGTGAGCTCTGCTGAGGGAGAGAGGAATTCCTGTTGTAGGTGTTTGAGGGATGTGTGGTGGATTATATCAGCCCTGTAGCTCTTCTGATGTCCTGTGTCACCAACACAGCTCTGCATTCACACCCCTTAGGGCATCCGTTCTTATCTCCAGCTCCTCTTCCTGTCCATCCACAAGAACAATTGCATGCTGCAATATGGGATGTTTTAAACCGGTGAGAGCCTCATTACAGCACACAGAGCACAACCATTCCCAGCAGTCATCTCTCCACCTCCACGTGTCCTGTGCTGCCAAACCATATTCTCATCAGTGCTTCAGGAGAGGAACCAGCAGCCACTGCTTCGCCTTGCCAAAGGACAGGGTGCCCTGCTCAGTTTGCCACCCAGGCTGGGCCACAGGGTTCACTTTTGAGGTTGCTACTGGCAGTGTCTCCACGCAGCTGATGGGGTTTTCCTTATGGAAAGAAATTGTGGTGGAATCTGTTAGCACAGAGTTGAGTTGCTAAGCCCATTCATTCCACGTGCCTCCTTACCTTTGGCACCATTGCTGCAGGGGGCTGGCTACCTCAGCAGTCTGTCCTTCAGCCTCAGTGTGAGTGCTGGAGGGTTGGGCTGGCTGCCTACCTCAACACTGTCCTTCACCATCGAGTACTGGAAACATGGACCACTATAAAGATAGCACTGAGATAAAACATGCTGCTTTAGAGCCTTGCCAAATACCCCAAAATAATCATAACCTTTTTCAGCCAGTTTTTAAAGTGTCCATCTACTGGTTGCTAATGGTTTTATGTTCATCTTTTAAACCACCATCAAACTTCTCAAAAATGTCAGAAATAATTGGGGCGAAGCAGGCCTTCTG